GGTTACAGGGAACCAGGCAGAGGGCCTTCTCGGTAGTGGCGCCCGCCCTGTGGAACGCCCTCCCATCAGATGTCAATGAAACAAACAACTATCTGACTTTCAGAAGACATCTGAAGGCAGCCCTGTATTGGGAAGTTTTTAATGTTTAATTTATTGTGTTTTTAATATTCTGTTGGGAGCTGCCCAGAGTGGCTGGGGAAACTGGAATGCAGATGCGGCTTCTGCAGGTTTTGTTTGCCCCCCCCCCAGCTCCCATCAGCAAGGAAGCGGCTTGGAGATGCCACAGGACAATTGCTCCAGGGGAAGCTGTTTCTGATAATATTGCATTATGAGAAAGCATACCAGCAGTGCTTTTTTCCAGGAGGTACTCAATGGTACACAGTACCAGCACCTCTTTTTGTTGTTGTTGTTGTTGTTGTTAAAAAGTGTGGCACTTACTGTAACAACTTTATGGTGAGTACTGGCACCTAGGGGGGAACACTGCATACCAGCAAAGGTAATATGGATCATTTCTATAGAGGCAAAGGATAGGAAGTGCCAAGTTGACGGGCTTACTGTACAATCCTATTACACATTTACTCAGAAATGTGGTGTATTGTATGTCAATGGAGCCATCAGGTAAGTGGGTTTTGGATTGCAGTCTAGAGCTTCTTTCCTGTTGCCCTTTGGGGGCTTTTGATTTGCCCTTAAAATCTTTCCTGCAAGACATTCTCCAAACCAATAACTCTAGGCTCCTTAGTGGTTGAGATGTAATGCATGAAACTTAACATTAATTACCCTGGGCATAGCAACTTAAGTTGGTTTGTGACTGTGATAAATCTGTAGCTCTAAAATGTACAGTAGAACGCCTTTCTATAAGAAAAGCCCTGTTAGGTCAGACCAAAATGCCTGTCTAGTCCAGGGTTCTGTGCTTGCCATGCACAGCACGTGGGAAGCCGCAAGCAGGATATTCAGGAAGCATCACTCTTTCCACTTATTATCACATTATTAACTGTTATTTATACAGAGCCATCACTGTATATGGCTCTGTTGCACAATTTAAGAGAAGGAAGTCTACCCTGAAGGACAGAGCTTTCCAAATTGTGTATCGCGGCATGCTAGTGTGTCAGCTACAGTGTGTAGGTGTGTTGCACAAATGCTCTTATAAGGGGTTAGTTTAATGTCCGGTTTGCTAGTAAAATTGAATTACTGTGTCGCGAAATGATGCATGTCTAAAATGTGTCACCAACATGAGAAGGTTGGAAAACTCTGCTCTAAAACAATGAATAAAGACGATCAAGTCAAAATCCTTAAGTTTAAATGCACCATTCACAAGACCAAAGAACCTCAGTAGAAGGACCTTTCTCAACAAAGTGCTGTCTAAGCCTGCTGGGCACTATCACCACTGAGAATTCACTCTTCCACTACATCCTACATCCCCTTTGGGTAAAAAAAACCCAACAACCCTCAAGTGAAGAACAGGCCGTTGTTGTGTAGTCTTGCCACTGATAAGCTGTCAACAGCTTCCTAGACTCCTCAGAGCACAGTTTTCAAACCATAACCAGGAGTGAGGAACCTGCAGCCCTCCAGATTTGCTGAACTACAGCTCCCATCATCCTTGACATTTGGCCACAATGGCTGGGGCTGATGGGAGTTGGAGTTCAGCAGCATCTGGAGGGCTGTAGGTGCTCCATCTCTGACCCTAATCAAATGGAACGTGTCTACTACCCTTATTCTTCAATTCTAGAAGATTAAATTCAAACCAGAAGACACCTATTTTTAGTGTTGTTGTCGTTGTTTAGTCGTTTAGTCGTGTCTGACTCTTCGTGACCCCATGGACCAGAGCACGCCAGGCACTCCTGTCTTCCACTGCCTCCCACAGTTTTGTCAAACTCATGCTGGTAGCTTCGAAGACACTATCCAACCATCTCGTCCTCTGTCGTCCCCTTCTCCTTGTGCCCTCAATCTTTCCCAACATCAGGGTCTTTTCTAGGGAGTCTTCTCATGAGGTGGCCAAAGTATTGGAGCCTCAGCTTCAGGATCTGTCCTTCCAGTGAGCACTCAGGGCTAATTTCCATCTAAAATGTCTGTACCCAGGTACTGGTATTCAGATATTGATATTTGTTGTTTATTCGTTTAGTCATGTCTGACTCTTCATGACCCCATGGACCAGAGCACCTCAGGCACTCCTGTCTTCCACTGCCTCCCGCAGCTTGGTCAAACTCATGTTTGTAGCTTATAGGATTATATTAAATGCTGCTGTTCTGCGGCTCCAAGACAGCAGACTTCTGCTTGCACAATATCATTTCACCTCTTCCCCCCAGTGCATCCTGCTCCAGAGAGTTGGAGAACCATTTGGAGAAGATTTTCAGGGCACGGGAGAGGAGAGGAAGGGGAAGTCTTGGTGCACAAGTAAAACTCTCCACTCGCAGCCTTGGATGCAACACATAGATCTTCAACCATTCTTGCATCAAGAAATCTGAGTGTAGAAGTCGTGCATGAAAGCAGAATACCTACAGAACAGTCCCATACTTCTCCTAGGTATGGTTTGATAGCTCTGGGCAAAAGAAACCTGCCGGATACAACAGTCCAGATTCAGTTTAGAACAGGGCTACTATACATTTCAAGTTTGTTTGTTTGTTTGTTTGTTTGTTTGTTTGTTTGTTTGTTTGTTTGTTTTTAAATGGAGCATTACTTTCACATCTTGTCTGTTTCGTCTTAAAATTGTTGCTTCTCATGTTTCCTACTCATGATTGGTATAGTGGAAGCCAGGTTGGCCAACAGCAGATAGAGCCGGAGCCAGTGATACATAGAGCCAACTAATTCTATTTTCCACCCCATCCTCTCCCTGCTGAGTGCTACAAGGGCAACACTGAGACAAAGGAGAAGGAAGCTATCAACCTCCAACCCAGACTGCTTTGTAACTAAGGGAATAGGCTGGGGGTAGGGACAGCTGGCAGTTGGCAGCTTAGTAGGGAAAGCCCTCGTTTGCCCTAATGGACCAGCCTCCATTTCCATCATCTATGTTTGCCCCCAGAACTAAACTCAGTACCGTACGTGGTGGTTGCATAACTGAACCCAGGATCTAAGCCTGAATTATAGACCAGGATTCTAAATTAAATTATTGTTTACCTTGTTACAGAAACAACCATTCCATCATCTGGGGTCCAATCTAACAACAGCACCTTAAGTACAAGAGTGGGTGTGATAAGAGATGTAACATCTTTAATTCACTGGACTACTGCGCATTAAGTAAGAAATCTCTCAAAAGATCAGATTTGGGGGGATGTTCCTTGATTTAGCTTTGCTCAAGTTGCCGCAGTGGCTACAAGGGCCTATGCTCAGGTTAGGTCCTTATGAAGCACTGTAAACCATTACACCACGCTAGGCCTCTTGCTGGACTACTGTCAAGCTCTCTTTGCGAGGCTGCCCTTGAAGACCATTCAGAAATTTCCGTTGTTGCGCTATGTTGCCATTAAGGATCATGTTGCTTCCTTGTTATGTCTACTGCTTAGCTGTAGGCTGATTTCCTTATGCAATTTAAGGTGAGGGAGGTTATTACCTTTAAAGCCCCAAACAGCTTGGGGCCAAGTTATCCAAAGGGCAAAATCCCCCTACATTAATCAGTCTGAACTTTGAGATCATCCGGCAAGCCTGTCTTGTGCAAGATTTTTCCAATTGGTTGTTTGTTTACTGATCTTTTTATCTGCCACTTTGATTTTTTCCCCTGTTTTATTTGGATTATTTTGTTGTTGATTAGCTATTTTGCTTTTTATTGATGTTAGCCGGTATAGGAAGGGGAAAGAAGGGTACAAAATGCAACGTAATCAAATAACCTGGAACTCGATGCACCTTCGGACTTAAGAGAACAAAAGGCTGTGACCTCAAAGACCCAAACTAGTAGCTAGCTGTTTTGCTTTATAAGCGTTCCAAAGTAAAATTAAAATTACTAGTTCAGATCTAGTTTAGTCACTGTAACACATTCTCAGTAGCTTTCATTTTTGAGATGTTTTAATTGAACAAGTAACCAATAGGTTGCACCAATCCTTGCTGGTCATTTCCAGCAGTTTAAATACTTCACGCTATCCTTGGGAGTGAGAGAAGACTGCATTAGGCAAACAGCCCAGAAGTGAATTAGCGTCATGGACAAATAAACCTTTGAGGTTTGTATGACCGACACATTCTCCATCTCCATTTCCCCCACTCACAGCAGCTAATGAGAAAACTCCACCATTTGCATTTCTGAGATTCATAACGCAATTTGCATCCTTGCAAAACACTCAAGCTGCAAATTGTCCTTCCGACTCTGACCTGCCTCTGAACGTGAGGCATATGTACAGGGAAGAGGAGTCTTCAGTTCTAAGGGTCATAAACCAGGTGTCAGGGTTATGACCTTCAGGGAACAGGGGATGGAATGCTGAGGCTGATGGTTTATGGAACAGCCTGCAGAATCTGGTCCACAGTACATTAACATAATAATAGCTCTTGGTGTTATAGCACCTTCCAAAGACTTCAAAGCAAATTCATCAGGGCCTCAAATTGCCTGCCTCTCTTGAACCTGCTGGCTCTGCACTTTGTTCTCCACGGAAAATTGTTCCAGGTTGTGCCTGGGATGCTTCGGAAACATCTCTCAACCCTCCATCTCAAAATAAGAACAGTACACACAAACGCTACGAGGATTTTAATTCTTGGAGTGAGGAGGTTTAGTTGCTTGCTTTCTGTGTGCAACACCTTGATTAGAGTTCAAGGCAGAGAGGTAGACTACAGATTAAATAGCAAATTTCAGTGTCTGTGGGTTACACTTTCATTTTCTCATTTTTTTTTAACCTTTTCAGACAGATCTTTAAAACCTCGAACAGCAACTAAATAAAAGGAAACTGGTAGTTTTCTAGTATGCTTTTGTGAAATTTCAAATACTGCAAGTCTAATATAATACATTAAATAAATAATGGAGGCCCCCTGTGAATCCAATGTACACATCCACAAAGAGAGCAAGACAAAACCACAAAGCTCCATTGTACCTTTTCACTATTTTCAGGAGATGCCAGTGAGGTTGAACTCTGCTCAAGGCGGCTGCTGCCAGGTATAGACACAGTCCGGTTCCTCATATGGACGTGACTCGAATGTAGAGGCCGTCCATAATTCTCTTGCACTGTAAAAAAAAGGGGGGGACAGGAGAAAATGAACATCTCTATCAAACCAAACCTTCCAACTGAGTCTCTTGTAATCAGACTTTGGATTTGATGGCTCCACTCCTTGAAAACATCTCGAACCAGGTCTGTAGCACCTGACCTGGTTTTTTTGTTAGCATCCAGGTCCAGGTCAGTGTGCTGGGGTGGACTTTTTGGGAGCCCTCCAGGCGAGGGGCCAGCCTACCTCCAAGACCACCTCCCACTGTAGGAACCTCCATGCTGGTTGAAATCCTCTAATCAGGCTCTGCTCACTAAGTATGGTGAGATCACCGGACCCAGCACTTAGCACTAGGCAGTGTGAGGTGTCTGCTGCAGGCAGCCAATTTTGGGTGTCACAAAAGGGCAGCAAATGGTGAGTTATTTGTTGCTGTCATATTTTTACCACCAGGGAAGAAACGGGCAAAGGGATTGTTGGATTTTCGGCCTCAAGGGCCAGAATGACTATGCAACTTGACTTGGGAAGACGGGGCGCTATTTGTCGTCCTGCCTCAGGCTACAAAATATTTTGTGCCAACCCTGGAAATCAATAGGAGCTAAAAGCAGGGCTTTTTATGGCAGGTGCCCCTGGTCTCTGGAATGACAGTCTCCATTGTCATCAGGACTCTGTCTGAAATTAACAAGACTCTCCTTGTCTGGGAGTCGTTTGGAGGCTGATTTGATTGGAGCTGTTCTGTTTTGGGGCTGCTGGATTGTGCAGTGTGAGTTTGTACTTTGCTTGTTGTTTAATCACGACTTAGATGGGGGAAATAGGTCTAATGCATGCTCCAGCCGTAACAGCTGCTGGTTGTGCATTTGGTGGCAGTGTGCATAGGACTTGCATATGAGGGAGACACTGATGACGAAAATCAGTTTGCAACGCACTGAGTTCAATAAAAATGTTGCTTGTGTGTGTGTGTGTGTGTGCTTTCCTCCCTTCCATTCCTGGCAGGAGGTATGGCCAGTGGTCACAACCTGCTCCCTCCAAACGTTTATGGACATGTGGGGTGGGTCATGTAATGTAGGCGCACACACAGTTAGAATTCTTAGAAAAATGAACTTGAGCCTGGGGAAAATGGTAGAGACATTGATATTCTAAGATAAATTGCTGGTTAAGAACACCTACCAGTGATCTTTTACCCAAGGCCCCCCCAAAACCTTGAACCTAGCCCAAATCCCTTGACTTCTAATGAGTCACTTGGGAATGTATGGCTCACTACACTGCTAGAAGCTGTATAAAAGTACCTCTCAATACAGCTGGGGGAGACCACATGTAAACCTCAGTTATAGTCTGGAAATTAGCATGGTAGGGTCAGTATTGCCTCAGTTCAATCGCATGAATTCAAACTTGAGAGGGTCCTCTTGGTAATTACAGATTTTTTAGTGCTTATTTATTTTATAATCCCTCTTACATTTTATATATTTGTTCCATCCTACTCCTTCCTCCAAGGACTTTGCACAATTACAGTGGTACAGTACCTTGGGTTACATACACTTCAGGTTACATAAGTGTCAGGTTACAGACTCCGCTAACCCAGAAATAGTGCCTCGGGTTAAGAACTTTGCTTCAGGATGAGAACAGAAATTGTGCTCCGGCGGCGTGGCGGCAGTGGGAGGCCCCATTAGCTAAAGTGGTGCTTCAGGTTAAGAACAGTTTCAGGTTAAGAGCGGACCTCCGGAACGAATTAAGTACGTAACCCAAGGTACCACTGTATGTCAGTTTACCTCATAACGCCAAGAGGTAGTTCAGTCTAAAACATCCTGTTGCCCAAGGGCCAGGTTGTAAGCATGAGGGGGAAATCTAGCAGTCTAGTCCCCTCTGGAATATTACCCTCCGAATTATCACTTTCCTTTTAAAAGTAAGTCTCTACTCCTGGTGGTATCAAAAGCATGCAGACAGTCTGCCCAATGGCTCACTAAGAAGTAAATGTACAATTGGGTATTCCTGTGTTCTGATAACTGAGTACAAAGGACAGAATTCAACTAAGTAGTCCCACTAGCAGATGTTTGCACAAGGGTGCTTGCTAGCACAACAGAGCTTTCCCTTCTCCCCTATGACCCCCAAAGTTGGGTTGGAAGGGGTAGAACAACCCCCAGAACAGCACGCAGGGGGAGGGGTGCATCTGAAAGACTTTTGCTGATGGAACAATTGCCATAGCCCTACGCTGAATTCCTCACTGGGATAACTGACATGAATTTGGCCGTTAATTTTAGTTTATAAAAATGATATTTTACAAAATCACTTTTATTAAAATAGAATAAATTTCAAAACATATTAACATTTCAGAACATATTAAGCTGCCTGATTGATTGTTTTGCAGTCACTTTTTGCCTTCTCAGTACAGTGGTACCTCGGGTTACATACGCTTCAGGTTACAGACTCCGCTAACCCAGAAATATTACCTCGGGTTAAGAACTTTGCTTCAGGATGAGAACAGAAATCATGCAGTGGCGGCGCAGCGGCAGCAGGAGGCCCCATTAGCTAAAGTGGTGCTTCAGGTTAAGAACAGTTTCAGCTTAAGAACGGACCTCCGGTACGAATTAAGTTCTTAACCCAAGGTACCACTGTACACAAGTTCTGGCTGCAAATTTTCCCAGGCCAAGCATGACAGAGCAAGAATTTGAACCTCAGTTCCAAAATCCAAACCCAGTACTCCAGGTACCACCACTGTTTCAGGTTTTGCTCTAAGGGTCGTAAGCACTGTGCTTTCGGTTATATAGGTTACCTGGGAAATTTTGAATTGGAAAATTCAAAATGGAAATTTGCAATTTTAGGCACTTATGCATGTGGCAATTGCAGAAGAAGAAAAAAGTAAGTTTGCAGTGCAACATTTTCCTATGCCCTAGAGAGTGAACTTATTTGGCATGTTTACTGCACTTGTATTTAGTAAACAAAGCAAAACAACAACCTTGACACTGCCAAGCTTGCCCAATATTGCATTTGGCAATTGGCATCCATTCATTGTTGCAAATGAGCTTGTGAAACGGAAAATCTTTCACAGAAAAATAAATCACTAGAAAATTTCCCTTGCAGCCCCTCTTCATGCTCTATGCCTTTCTTTAGTGCTGCTTCATATGAATGCTAATAATAATAATAATAATAATAATAATAATAATAATAATAATTTACCCCAGCCCTTTTCCCTGAGAGGGACTCAAGGCAGCTTACAGATAAAATAAGGACAGCTAAAAACATAGGAAGAGGAATGAAATAAAAATACAGGTAAACATTATTCCTATATGCCGATCATCTCTATGTAGGAGAAAATGTGTGACGTCATTCATGAGAAGCTGGGCAAGGGTTTAGATTACCCAAAGGTCATGGACCAAGCAGCCCCTGCCCTATGGGGTTGTGGTGAAAAACTCTTGTGCTGTACTTCAAATGTGATAAAGAGTAGACTTCCCTCCCTAAACCTCCATGCGAGAGTCTCCTCCAATTCGCCCAGGCTGTGCTAACATGCTGTGTGTGGCTTTGAAAGCATCCCCCTGCTTCCCACCCCCACAATCTTTGTTACCTGGCCTATTGTGGGCCTGGCAGGGCCAGTGGAAGAGTGGTCTAATTCAAAGTCCAAGTGCCAACCAAGTTTAAACTCTCCAGCTCCCCACCAGGAGGCAATTATTGCCTCGGTCGCTTCCTTTGTTCTCGGTCTGCCATGAACTGCGATCAAATTAAACGGGCCCTTGCCAATGGCTCCTGCTCATTTGCAATAGAAACCTCCTCACACAAATGGCACCGGGGACGGGTCCTCTTCTCCCTGCATGGGCAAAGTGGCAGAATTCAACAGCTATGTGTCCGGTCCTCTTTTCATTCTCGCCTACCATGTTTCCCATGCCACGGAATTTCTCCATGTTTTCCCTCATGATCGTCGAAGGAGGAGCAATTCCAGAAATGTTGCTTGTCCAGGAATTGTGCTTCGGTTGGTCATTTATTTGTTATCATTTTCTAAAACTCCCACTGGAGCTACATGGCAGAGACAATTGAATCATCCTGGTGAATTAAAGCAGACAGAATTTTAATCATTTTTTTAAAAAAAAAATGTATAAAGGAAATTGATTTTATTCCTAGGAGGGGATTCTGTGTGGTCTCGTACTACTTGCTTCTCTGGCTGAAACCCCAGACCTAGGATGAACTAATTAATTGAGTTTACTCCACACAATGCCTGGCAAAGGCCCTCTGTAGAAGCTTTTAGGGAAATGAGTAGAAATGCTGCCGAAACAGTTGTTTACAATGTCGTGAGGTAGCTTGGAATGATGGAGAGGCTGTGCATGCTGTTGCTTTCAAGCGGCACAATCTATAAATCACTGGCAGGCACAATACGCCAAAGGCCAGGTTGACTGCCTTGAAGTCAGCTGTGGCGATCTGGTGCTGTGGATTGGCTGCAGCGGCCAAGGAGCTCACAGTTTTGTTTGCCGCAGTTTCTGCTCTTCCACAATGGATAGCTCTCCCCCTTTATTTGCGACAGGGGTGGGGAACCTTTTCCCACCCAACAGTTGCATTCCTCCATGGGTCACACGCCAGTGGAAGGTAGGGCAACAAGCAAAACTGGATGAATAGCCATGAATGCTATTTCTACACACAGCTATTTCTGTTGTTGATGTTTAGTCGTTTAGTCGTGTCCGACTCTTTGTGACCCCATGGACCAGAGCACGCCAGGCACTCCTGTCTTTCACTGCCTCCTACAGTTTGTTCAAACTCATGCTCGTCCTCTGTCGTCCCCTTCTCCTTGTGCCCTCCATCTTTCCCAGCATCAGTGTCTTCTCCAGGGAGTCTTCTCTTCTCATGAGGTGGCCCAAGTATTGGAGCCTCAGCTTCAGGATCTGTCCTTCCAGTGAGCACTCAGGGCTGATTTCCTTAAGAATGGATAGGTTTGATCTTCTTGCAGTCCATGGGACTCTCAAGAGTCTCCTCCAGCACCATAATTCAAAAGCATCAATTCTTCGGCGATCAGCCTTCTTTATGGTCCAGCTCACACTTCCATACATC